TGGACATTTGGGTTGATTCCAAGTCTTTGCTATTGTGAATAGTGCTGCAATAAACATACGTGTGCATGTGTCTTTATAGCAGCATGATTTATAATCCTAATGTATATACCCAAAGAATAGGTTTTAACTATTGATAATTTGGTAGCTGAAAAATATCTCATTGTTTTGGCTTAAATAATATTTATTTGATTATATGTAAGTGCATATATAACTATATGCACTTTATATTTAATACTTTTGTAAGTATTTTAAAATTTGCCCTGAGAATGTATATGATTCACACAATATATAATTAACATTTTAAAATAATTAAGACAAAAAGGAAATGGGTAGAAAAAAATAAAATCAATATTAAGAAGTTAAAACACAGAAGGAACACCATTAGGTGAACCATGAATATGACTCTAAGCTTTCTAGCAGCCAATTTAAAGAGGAAAACATAAGAAGATAGAGTGTATATTGGTGGCGGCCAGAGGCCAGGGAGCATATGGGGGAGAGGTGGATGAAGACAGGTTGATTAAAGGGTACAAATATACAGTTTGATAGAAGAAATAAGACCGAGTGTTGGATAGATCAGTAGGGTAACTATACAATCTATTGTATATTTCAAAATAGCTGGAAGAATACTTCCAATCTCATTGGGTATTGTGAATAGAATTGCTATGAAAATGAGTCTGCAAATATCTCTTCAAGACTCTGCTTTCGAATCTTTTAGATATATACGCATATATCAAATCTTTCCAGCATAAAGATAAATATTTAAGGTGATGGATATCCCAATTACAATGACTTGACCTTTACAAATTATGTGAATGTATTCAATTATCATATGTACCCCACATGTTGGAACTTTGGACATTTAGATAATCTTGATTTGTATCTTCTCAATTTTTCAATAATTTCTAGAACTACAGGAGAACTCATTAACTCTGTCCCTTCTCTGGATTTCGCACACAAAAAATTGTCTCTGTTTTTTAATTTTTTTTTTGTATTGTGGTAAAAACATATAACATTTATGTTTTTAACTTAAAATTGTGTGTGTTTAATATGTACACTGTGATGTTTTGATATAAATAAATGGTAAACTGATTATTACAGTTAAGCTAATTAACATATCTATCTCTTCACATAGTTACGTTTTCATGGTAAGAATACTCAAGATCTAATATTTTAGCAAATTTCAAATATCCACATATGTATTAACTACAGCCCCCATGCTGTACATTAGATCGCTAGAAATTATTCATTCTACATCATTGAAACTTTGTACACTTTGACCACCATCTCCCATTCTTCCCCTTCTCCTGTAATTAACATTCTACTCTCTGCTTCTATGAATTCAACTTTTTAAGATTCCACATGTAAATAAGATTATGCAGTAATTTTCTTTCTGTGTCTAGCTTAATTCACTTAGCATAATGTCTACCAGGTTCAACCATATTGTCACAGATGGCAGGATTTTCTTCTTTTCTAGGGCTGAATAATATCCCCTTATATATACATTGTTAAGTAAGTTGACCAAAACCATGTAACCAGTAGTGGAAGAAAGAGATGATAAACCCAGGACTGTCTAACTCCTGAGTAAAGCACTCATAAGCACTATAAAATAGTGTAGCTAACATTTATTGAGTGTGTACTATGTGCCAAGCAGTAAGTTCTTTAAATATGTTATCTATTTTAGTTCTTATGACAAACCTGTAAGTTAGATTGGTACAAATATCCATGTTTTACTGATAAGCAAATCACTGTTATTAAGGGTGTTATTTGCCATCAAAACAAAGGAATTGTATCATTAGCAGGAACAGTTGTATCTCTCATAAGCAATTGGTTTGTTATGACTTTATGGTCACTGTAGACCATGGAAAATATTTACTAAGTGCCTTCTATGTGCCAGGTCCTTGTTTAATGTTCTTCAGAAACACAAAACAAAACACCCAAATATTTCTTCCCTTTTGAATCTTATTTTCTAGTGGAAGAAATATTCTGTAAATAACCATATAGTGCATTACAAAATAAGAGTTGTGTAGAAGAGAAAAATAGAGCATAGCAAAGTGGATCAGAATATTCTTGGGGTGCTCACTTGAGCTAATGCTTCACTCTGGGGGAATTAGTCATGCAGCTGTATTATGGAAGAGTATTTCTGTCAATGAAAACAGCTGAGAAAAATACCTAAAGTGGGAGAGCAAGCCTGGTATATTTAAGGATCTGGAAGGAAGCCAATACGACTGCAGTGGAGTGGCTGAGAGGGTGAGGCAATTAGATCATAGAGGTGATAAATTAATCCAGTTAGACTTTATAAACCACTGTAACAACTTTAATTTTCCTCTGAGTTTGATAAGAAATATGGAAAGATTTTGAGTAGAGAAGTGATATGAGATGTCACAGGATATCTCCAGATGCTATGTGGAGAGGAGACTGCCTGAGACAGGGTCAAAGTAGGGAGACCAGTTGTATTAGTCCATTTTCATACTGCTGTAAAGAACTACCTAAAACTGGGTAATTTATGAAGAAAAAACGTTTAATTGACTCACAGTTCTGCATGGCTGGGGAGGCCTAAAGAAACTTACAATCATAGTAGAAGGCGAAAGCGAAACAAGGACCTTCTTCACATGGCTGCAGGAGCGAGAGAGAGCAAGGGGGGAACTACCAAGCACTTTTAAACCATTAGATCTCATGACAACTCACTCAGTATCATGAGAACAGCATGGAGGAAACCACCCCCATGATCCAATCACCTCCCACCAGGTCCTTCCCTCAACAGGAGGGGATTACCATTCAAGATGAGATTTGGGTAGGGACACAGAACCAAACCATATCACCAGTGAAAATACTATTATAATGGTCCGCATGAGCAATGACGGTGGTTGGAACCAGAGTAATAACTATAGAACTGGTAATAAATGACCAAATTTTAAACATATTTTGAAGATAAAACCAAAATATTTTCCTTACAGATTGGTTGGATATGGAATGTGAAGAGAAAGAAGGAGTCAATGATAATTAAATAAACAACTAAATGTAAACAGAGTATTTAAAATGATAACAGCAGTTACATTAGTGTAAGATTATAGACTTTATTTTGTTCTTCATTCTCTTACATATTTTCCAGTTTCCTAGATAAATATAAATGGTTTCTATAATTAGAAGGGAGTAAATATATTTTTTAAATAAAACAATATTGAATCACCTGTTTTTCAAATATGAGGTTGGTGACCAGCTGTGATGGCTCACATCTGTAATCCCAGCACTTTGGGAGGCCAAGGCAGGTGGATCACTTGAGGTCAGAAGTTTGAGACCCTCTTGGCCAACATGGTGAAATCCTGTCTCTACTAAAAATACAAAAAAATCAGCCAGGCATGGTGGTGGTGCATGTCTGTAATCCCAGTTCCTTGGGAAGCTGAGGCACAAGAATTGCTTGAACCCAGGAGGCAGAGGTTGCAGTGAGCCAAGATTGAACCACTGCACTCCAGCCTGGGCAACAGAGTGAGACTCTGTCTCAAAAAAAAAAAAAAAAAAATGAGGTTGGCAAATATTTAGAGAATAGTGGCCAGTGTTGGTGATAATGCAGTAGAACTGGCATTCACACATAGCTGTAGCATTATGAATTGGTAAAGCTATTCTGGAGAGAAATGTATTCATGAAAGTTTTAGAAATGTTCATATAGTCACATATCAATGATTCCAGTTTTAGGAATTAACTGCAAAGAAACAATCAGAGATTTACTTTAATATTTAAAAGCAAAAATATTCATGTTTCATATGCAATTGTAATTGGAAAACACCTGAATGTCCAACAATATGGAATTCCTTTATTATATTACAAAGAATGTAAATCCACAGTTAGCATACTTTTCCGCTCTTACCAAAAAAAACCACATCTTTTTGAATAATATTTTCATGGCATTAGGAAAGGGTAAGGGAAAACCACAATTTAAGGAATAAAATTATTTTTAAGATTAATCCTAGAAAGCATTTGTAGATGTGGGAAGCCTGAGGACACTCCTCCCACCAGTGGCTAGATCCTCACGTGGAGGAGGTAAAGCTATATTGATATTCATACCTAATATAATGACACTGCGTTTTGCATGAGAAAAAAACTGCATGGGGCAAAAAACAAACCCCATTAAAAATAAGCAAATTATTTGAACAGGCACTTTTCAAAATAAGACATACAAGTAGCCAATAAACATACAAAAAAATGGTCAGCATCACTAATCATCAAAGAAATGCAAATTAAAACCAAAACAAGACACCATCTCTCACCAGTCAGAATGGCTATTATTTAAAAGTCAAAATATAACAGATGCTGGCAAGGCTGCAGAGAAAAGGGAATATTTATACACTGTTGGTGGGAATGTAAATTGGCCCAGCCTCCATGGAAAGCAGTCTGGTCATTTCCCAAAGAACTTAAAACAGAGCTACCATTTGATCCAGCAATCCCACCACATACCCAAAAGAAAATAGATAATTATTTTTTCTAATTTCCTACTTTTATTTTAAGTTCAGGAGTACATGTGAAGAATGTGCAGGTTTGTTACATAGGTAAATGTGTGCCATGGAGGTTTACTGCACAGATGAACCTATCACCTAGGT